ATCAAACAAAAATAAAAGCAATGCAATTGATGCTGAAAAGAAATTTTCAATCAAGATTTATTCAGAATTATCGAGAATTTCTTTGAAAAATTCACAACACTTCCTTGAAAATATTTGAAGTAATTATTAAATATTCTTTGACATCTTTTCACTTTTCGTGATGGTCACAAAAATATTAAAAAAAGGCGCATCCGGGCGGCACTGAGAGGAGGAGTAGGTCTGCGGGGGCGGCGCGTAGACCAGTGCAGGTTGGAGGAGCCAGCCGTCCATCCTTTATTGGTGTAACAAGTCACTGATTGTTGACGGATTTAGGAATAGTACTTAATATTAATAGAAAATTCATTAATTATTTTTGATCCACAACAATCTGTATATTTATCTACACGACCAGACAACGAAAAAAATTGAAAATTTCTTAAAAATTAGGTTTTGTTGTGAGAATTTATTTTCACAATAAATTACACAAAATGCCTCAAAAAGCTTTTAGATTTTGCAGCCTGATTCAGTAAAGTGAAATGTGTAAACTAGCATAATTCACAATACAATGGAATATGTTGACGTAAGCCTGATTGCAAACAAATGATAATGCAACATAGATGTATACACTTAAATCATTAATGCGATTGGGTGGATTGAATATGTAAGGAGACTAAGCACATGTTTAGGGACACCACTAATTACTTCAAAACTACTTTAAAATTGGTTCATAAATACATACAAATAGCTAATTTTATTACTGATCCCAATAAATACAAATTTAATTATTTTTTATTTATAAAAACGCAAAGATTTGTTTAAATTATGACTAAAAATTTGAATGAAATTATTTTCAAATGCATTTTTTTTTTCATTTCTTTGATTGTTTTTCATTTTATCGGATGACTCAAATAATAAGTTTTCTTACCAAACCAATAACCTGTTCTAAAGTGATTCTAAATTTGAACATTCTCCAGATAACAGGTTATTTTATTAAATGGAGACCATTCTGGATCGCTACAAAATTTAGGAATATATTCTTGATAGTTTTCACACACACAGAAAAATCCTGATAGCACCTCTGATTGTACTACATATACTATAATATAATGAATAATGCTTTATTACAATTTAATATTCACTTGTTTTATTTGGCCAAGAAATACAATAAAGCATGTGAAACTATACACAATACATGTGTATACATCAGTTTACACATACACCTATTAGCATAACATTTAGATAGTTTTCCGGAAAATTCATATGTAGGAAAGCCAAGTACTGTAAAATAGAATCAATCCACATACATCACAACCCCAAGTGTTATAATCCAATAAAAATTGAATTTTTCGTTACACACATTATTTCATGGAAAAATCCATGCACAATAATTCCATAATTGTGTCAACTCTTCCTAGTTTGTTACTACTATTATTAGTAATTTTCTGAAATGTGAAATAGAGTACCCATTTACAATATTTTCTACCCCAGTAAGCTTAATTAAAAAGTTATGTCATAAATATATATATATATGTATCTTGAAATTTGTGTTTGCACACGTTAGTGTGACAGGAAAAATTATATCAAGTAATAAATTCATATCCTGACTTGAAACTTCACCAAAAAGTAAAAATAGTTGTGGTTTAAAAGCAGGAAATGATGAATTAGATTTCACAATGCTAACGATTTCAAATCTTACCAGTTTGCTATGTGTACAAGTTATCATCTTTCTCAAGAGAGAAATGAGTTCAAAAACATTCACTTTCTGTCTAAGGATGAATTTGCACAAGCAAAATGTAAAAAAAGTTTCGCTTGTTCAAACCGTTACAAAACGGCCGTCGCACCTGCGGGGGGGGAGGGGCGGGGCGGGCGGGGCGGGCGCGCCGGGCGGGGGTCAGGCCGGTCTCCGGATCTGTGTGACCGAACGGCCGTTTACGTTCCAGGCGGCTTTACGCAAGAGGCGGTTCTGGTTTCCCTCTGCGGTCTGTGTTCAGCCATTGTGGGCTGATCACCTGGCGCAGAAGTTTGTATTGGTTGTAGTTGAGGTCTGAGGACCTGCCTGCTTCAATTCGGCAACCTTCCGCTCGGAGTTGCCGTCCTTTTTCCGTCTTTGGCGGGGGGAGCAGGTGTGTTTGTGAGTTTGCGCCTTTTGCGCAGGCGGCGCGCGAGGGCGGGCTCGGCCCTCTCTTGGATGGCTTGTCTCCTCTTCGTCGCGCGCGCTGGCTTGGCGCGGCGTGTTGTGTGGTGGTGCACTATGCTTACGCAAAGGTAGTGCTTTTTCTTACCTTGCGTGCGGCTGTGTATGTTGTTTTTAGCTTCGGCTCTCGCATTTACTGTTCTCAGCCTGGCTCAACATTATTTGCTCTTTGCTGTAAGGGTCCTTGTGGGCCTTACAGCACCGTAGTTGGGCGAATGGTTCTTTCCGCAGTTATCCAGCAAACAGCAGATTGCTAACTGATAGCTACATTCCTTGGTGAGGTTGGCCTTCGCCGTCAGTGAATGCAGCGTTTGGGCGCTACCACTTGGCAGTAGCGCGTGGGTGCGACTATCGGCCATGCACGCTTGTTTACAGAAAGGCGCGCTCTCTGATCGCCTTGCTACCTCGATGCGTGCGCGACAGTGACACACGGATGTAAGCGCAAATATCCACTTGCCGTCGTCCCCCGGTAAAAGATGCACGAAGTACGCGCCTAGCGGGACAAGTTTCCCGTTTCGGTGCCTCTTCAGTTGGTGTACAGCAGGCCTTTGTTTCCCGGGGCACTGCGCGGCGATGCTGTCTGCTACTTCCTCCGCTGACACTTGAGGGGGTGGGGCGCTGACGTAGATTTTCATCCCACGCTCTTCCTTGCGTGCGTGGGTGAAGTGCGACGCGTTCATCTTCTTTAGGGACGCGGCGATCTTCACGTGGTCCGTAGTTTTTCTTGCCTGTACAGAGAGGAAATCCCCGCAGTGCCTGCCCGTGACCGGCTGCTCGCACCCGTGCGTCGCCGCCTCGAACCAAGCTTCGGCTGAAGCCGCCGTCCGAAGGCACCGAGGCGCTCGCGACCATGCTGGGCGGACGCAGGCCGATGGGCCGGCTGAGGCGGCGGCAGAGGGAGAGGGGGAGGGGGAGGAGGCGGGGCGGCAGGTGAGGGCCGCCCTGTCGTGTCGGCGAGGGTGGAAGAGGGGACACGGCCTCCGGGGGCGAGAGCTCGTCCGCGAGGGCCACCGCCTCTCAGTCTCCGACGGCTGCGGCGCTCCACCTGCATCTCCTCGCCCACAGGCAGAGCTAGGAAGCTACCAGGCGGAGGCGGTTGGCGCGTCGTGGGCGTGGCGTGCGGCGGCTGGGCGGAGGACGGGAGGGCGTACAACTCCGCGAGCCCGTCCTTCGCAGGGGCTTTGCTGAACGAAACCTGTTCCGCAGGCGTCGGCGAGGCGCCAAAACGGGCGACGAGGTCCGTCGACGCCCACGCGAGGCATCCGTCCTCGTCGGCCTGCAGCAAGGCCTTGAGGGCGTTCGCAAAGCCAATGTTGGATGGCAGGGAAATGCTGCTGGCGTGCGGCGTCGGAAGTTCTCCCGAGGCGGCGGCCGCTGTTGCTGTGCTGCTGCTGCTGCGGTGTTCGTTGCGGCGAGTCCCTCCGAGAGCGAAATGCCGTCGGTGCAGAAGACCAACGCATTCCGTTGCCCTTCTCCGTATCTGAAATGGAACGGCACTTTTGGCTCTTTCTTAAAAATGTTGCTGCTCTAAAAAAAGATTGGTTAAGTACTAAGAGGACTTGTCAGGTTTAGTCCGGAAAAGGACTGTTTTTTGTGATTTAGTCTTCAGAAGGGCTGGTGTTAAAATTTTCGAAGACCCGAAAGGGACTCTTTTCTAAGGAAAATATTTCTAAGTCCAAAAATTGATTTTCGGACTTAGAAAAAGTTCCGCTCCCGAGGTCTTGGGAGCACAGTGCAGCAGCGTCAGCGGTTCCGAGGTGCGTCTTCACTGCGATCGCGTGACTCACGATTTATTCAATAGAGAAACGTGAAAAATGCCACCGCTAGCAGAAGGCAACTTCAAATGACGGCAGTCCCACTGCGCGCCGGTAGCGGCGTTTACCCGCTGCGGTCCCTTCGTTCGTCGTCGCCGGAGGGTTGGCCAAACCTACGCCCGCAGAACCCACCCCCTCCACGGCGGGCGGCGGTGGCGGCGTGGGAAGAGCCCTGCCGCTCGACGGCAGCGCGCCACCGCGGCGACCGAACCAACCTCCGGGCGACGGTGTAGCGCGTGGCAGACCACGACAGGGGCGCGACGCGCACACTAGCGCCATCTAGCCACAGAACAAAGAACAACTTGACAATTAGGGGTTAGTCCATCAAATCGTTAACACTTCATATTCCAGCGGGACAGACAAAAACCAACTTTATTTCGTTCTCATATTCGACGGTAAAGTTGGGGGTATATGAACGTCGAAAAGTACGCGAGATTGTGAAGCAAGATTCCGTCAGTAAAAACGGCGCTCTGTAACATTATTGCTTGGAAGTTTCCGTCCCTAGCCACGAAACGGGCCGAGTTGAGCTACTGTACTGCCACTTTCAACCGCTCGTGATGCAGTTCTAGTCCGGCTTTACGCCCAACGCAGTTTGAGGGCTAATTTCCGACTGCCTCGCACGGGAGCTTCGTCACATCGCTTCGCGCACCAGAATTCGCAGTAGGATCTCTCTTTCAGACTGCGCGGCGCGACAGATTAAGATTCCGGAACCCGATCGATCACGCGATCCTCTGTAAGAGGGCGAGCTTCAGACCTCTGCCCGCTTGAACGGCTCTCAAGACAACGCTGCTCCGTTTGGGCGAAAACTATACCTCGCCTGCCCGCCCCTCGCTTTCTACGGTGGCCAATGGCGATCGCGCGTTTCTTACCAATCCGCACAAACCCCGGTGTCGGTCCGCGCGCTGTTCGCTTGACAGGAAGTTCCCTCGTCAAGCTACGTCGGCACATGCGCTACACTCAACTCCTCGCGTTCGCGCACCAACACCGCCAGTTTGTCATAACTGGCCTCTTACTTTGACACGACGCGGAGCCTACACTTGAGCTCCTCTCTCGGTGAAGCTCTGGATCGGGCATCTGCTTAGACTGGAGCAACCATTCCAAAGATTCGGAGAATAAAGACTCAAAGAGCCGATACTCCATTAAATTACCTAAAGACGCCTGCTTAAAAAAGGTACCTTATTCCACAAGACCATACTTCCACCAACTCTTCACAGATATTTACGTGAAATGTTTTATGCTATTGAAGTCTTTGAAAACGTTTGCCTTAATACTAGGTTTGACAACGCAGTTGATAAGAAATAATTCATTATAATAAAACAAGGATGACATCTCAGGCATTACATACAAATGTAGGTTTGATTTCTAGAGGTTGGTATAACTTTAAAATCTCTAGTGGCCGATTTTGAAACTAATACTCCCACTCCACCCGCTTTTGTCGAAGCCATCAATGAAAAAGTTGCGCGATTATTATAGTTAGATTGAAGCAGAAAGTTCTTTCAAGGTCACTAGCTGAAAAGAGATCATCCAATCCGATCCGAAGCTACAAAACCAAAATATCAAGTCGTAACGAACCTCGATGACAGTACCCTCTCTTAATTTTAAATGCAGTCAAATACCAAAAATCATCACCTTGATGCAAGTCATTGAAACACATATAAAGCATTAATTTTAAATATTGCATATTTTACCATTTAAACCCTGTTATTTTTTATTGTTCACTGGTAGACGATTGTCACTTTACGACACTTTCGAAACGTTTCTCGACACTTCTCGCTCTCCTTGCTACTCCGAGATAAGTGTCTGGTCTGGCTTTTCAGACGAAGTGCCCGTGCTGCGGCCACGTGGTTCGTGACGCAAACAGGTGCTGCTAACACTTCAGCGTGCACCGTGAGAATAAAGTCTTCCGGTTCAGGAGGTCTCATTTTACCGACTCCTTCCGGCCCGTAGGAGTTGTGGGGTGGTGGTGATTGCTTATCATTGTCTATGATAAAGGGAGGGGGTTCCCCATGCTGAAGGACACGCAGGGAGCGTTCAAAGCTTTCTGGATGACGCAATAGGTATTGTGAATACAAGAATGTTCAATATCAAATGTATTATTTTTTTTTATATTTATGGGAAAATTTAGTTTCGTGTTAATAATGTAATCAAAATTATAAAAAATCTTTACTTTTATGTTAAATTGTAACAACATTGAACTAACATGCAGGAAGAAGGAACATTTATTTTACTTAGTGAAGATTTTATTTTATTAATTTTTATCAGAGAAAAGTTAAAACAGATCATCAAAGGGGGAGAAGTACAGTCTGTACATATACTCTTGAATCCCTGAATCTCTTCCCTACTCCTTTACTGTACTGTAAATAGGGACTACTGTCTCTATTTTTATTCTTCTTTCAACTGTTTTGTTAACCTGTAACATACAATACTGTTTCAAACCTTTCTCAAACGTACCTACTAGCTTTGATCTCTATTTTAACAATTTGTGGGAAAATGACCACTAGTGTACAATAATTTTTAGCTAAAACCATAAAAAACATCATTGGCAGAGTTGTTTTGGAAATGCACCTTTGCCAACTTCTTGGAAACCAAGTTAAAACTTTTAAAAGTGGACTTTATAATTTTAATCGAATTTTTAGAATGTTAATTATATTTTTAATTAAATATAAATTTTTATTATTTTCCATGTAAAATTTACTAATTGAATTATTTTTAGATACATACAAGTGAATTATTAACAAAGGTAAATTTTAAAAATAAGTTTGAAACTTGTTAATAGTTAATATTTAAAATAATTTGTAATCATGTCACCTTTGTGAATATTGATATTGTGAATACAAGAATGTTCAATATCAAATGTATTAATTTTTTATATTGGGAAGATTTAGTTTACAGTTAATAATGTAATCAAAATTATAAAAAATGTTTACTTTTATGTTAAATTGCAATGACATTGAACTAACATGCAGGAAGAAGGAACATTAACGATTTGGAAAAACATTACACAAGAATCTGAGAAAAATAACGAAACAACCTTCTATGTTGATTAAGTTTCACCAAGTTTCCAGTAGCAACATTGACAATTTACAATATTAGCGTACTTCTAAAGTCAATCTCAATAGTGTATCTGAAAGGGGATGAGTACATTTAACCAAAAAAGGACGAGACTTAATTATTCAAGAAGACAAAAACAATTGATACGTAAATCCTACAAACAAACGATAAGGCTGAAATTGTGCAAAACGTCTATTCTTCAATGCCGTGTCTGTGCAATGACGTCAGTGATGTCTCTATTTGTTGGATCAGGAACTGAGCAGGGCGACGAAAAATATAAACTAATTTTCCAAAAACTTGCAAAGTTGCCCCGGAAAGTTGCCTCGGGGGTAACGTTGCTCCAGTTTACGGAATGTAATTGAATTTTGTATTCCTCCATGGTTGAATGGTAAATGAAAGTTCTAAAAGCGAGGTTAGGATTTTTGAAAACTTGACGTCTTCGCTCCCGAGTTACAGAATCACATCTCGAATTCCGCATCCTTCCAAACCTCTTCTGCATGCAAACTAGCTTTAACATAATTAAACGCCCCACCCCCGCGTCCATCTCGGTCTCTCCTAAATATGACAATCATCGCGAAATATTTCTGCATTACAAATGTCAGGTTTCAACCGAACCTATTCCATCAGGGCAATACTGATCTATCAAATTCCAAAATTGTTTGTTTTTATTTATTAAGATTCTACACTTTACCTGCAACACGAACTGTATTTGTATACCAGGACCATATACATTATGCGCTCACGATCAATTACAAAAGAACGTATTAACGTTTTTGATAGTGGACAGAAAAAATTGAGAATAAAAACTAGCGAAAACAAGCAAAGATTTTCATCATCGAAACTCAAAATTTCCTTTACTCGTCCAAAACGCATCCATACCATGACTACGACACACCACTTCCGTCCCTGAAAATTACATTAGACGCAAAATGAACCTGGGTAGAACACTTCACCGGCACAGAGTAAAGAAACACTCACAAAAATCTAAAAGCCCAACCGCATACTAAAAATGAATCTTCACTTAGCTACGAATGTGTCAAAATCATATAGAAATCATTCATTAGATCTTTACCAAGCTACGTGAGCTCCATTTTGATACAGGCCGACTACATCTACATAAATTAACAACAAATTATGCAAATAAATGCCTCCAAAAGTTCAACAATGTGTCATGGTTTAAAAGCAATCGACAACTACTCAGAGAACTAATAATAAACCCTTCTAGACTACATTTCTAAAAATTTCAAAAAATTTCATGATATTCCCAGAAATACCTTCTGCTGAAACTTAAAATCGTAGTAAAACTTACCGACAACCATAAAGAATTTACCCTGTGACAAATTCAAGATCCCACTAAGCAAAAAGATACACTTACTCACGTACCCAAAACGCTATGGACATAGAGAAGACTATTTCCAGCACACCTGATGACATTTTTAGAATTGGGGAACCCTTTTTAGGTTTTCTTTATGTAGCGTTTCTTTAGAATATAGTTCATATTTCATTAGAAATTAGTTCATATGATTTTGTATCATAATTTTAAATGACTGTCTCATGAATTTGTAACATAATTATGTTTTATAGGCCAATAGTCATGTGGATATTAAAGAAATTCAATTATAACAATCTGATACAACAAATGTATCATGGAGTCTCTTGAGCAGTTTGGTCATTCTATCTCCAAACTAACAATACTACGAGAGATTCCTCTTTTGAATGGAAAGAGATACAGAATCACCAAGTGTGTGCAAATCCTCAAGATGTCATTGCAGGTTAGTAATTGTTAAATTTTCACCGGCAAAAGGCTATTAGGGAAGCACGTGTGGCAAGAGAAGAAATAAAGCTGAATGATGGACTTATACGTTCAGTTTCAGAAACGCGTAGAGCCTTAAGATCCTTTTCAGCTTACAACAAACCCCTTACCTCCATGCCAGAACAGATGAAACTGATCTCGCCGAAACCACTAGAAGACAAGCGTCCAAGATTTAAAGACATACTTAAGCAAAGATCTCTGATGGTAAAGTTTGCGGTAACAATATTTTTTCATTAACTTCATTTGTGAATTTCGTTATTAACATGTGTTCAGAATATTCTTACTGATATTTATCCCCTCTCACCAAGCATTCGTATTATGACACTCAGCATGCTGCTCATATCGCGTGGACAGGTGAAGTGACCCAGCTTTTCAGTTTATCTTCTGACAATATTTCTTACAATTGGTTCATAGTTATTGGAATACATAGTGAAATAAAAATACATAGTGAAAACCCGATGTGAAAAAGAAACACTGAACTTTCAACTGTGTACTATTGTATTGTAGAAGAAAAACAAACGAACTTTAAAGTATCTGTAATGTCATGATCGCACGTCTTAAAATGTTGTATAAACGGAAAAAATTGATCAATGGAACTGATAATATACATTAGCTTTATGTGAAAATATTACATATTGTCCCCAGGAAATGACAACACAAAATTGCAAGTTCATTCAAGTTCCCCCCCCCCCTCTCTTTCTCTCTTTCCCGCTCTTTTTCGCTCTTTCTTTCTCATTAACACATTTCTCTGTGTGCCTTTGTCTGTGGCTGTCTCTTGCGCTTTCTCTTTCGAAAGGAGGTACCAACTGTAGGGGTTTTGTCTTTCTTCTTGCAGTTTCGTGCGGCTTATGTTTCTTCATAAAAAAACAATAACTTTTCACATTTATTATTATTTTTCTTTAGAATGCGAATGCCCAAGAGGTTATTATATTCTTCCACGCTCCTGAAGTAATCTGACTATCACACAAGTAACATAGTTCATTACACTAGTTGCTGCCTCTCCATTCTCAGCCAACGCATTCCTGGCATTCTTTACAAAAATTTATTTTGTTTTTGATCCTTCTTTCTTTTTAATTTCTCAAAGTACAGTTCAACTTGCTCAATACTGATTCTCAATGAACTTGTATTTCTTTTTCTGCATTCAACAAAGTAATACTGAAGAAACTCATTCAATTTCACCATTACACATGTTGATTTTTTCAGTACATTTTATTTTAATGGAATAAAATTTATCGTAAATAAACAACAGCTCTTAATATAAAATAGCTCAAATGTAAGTCAAATTAATTTACTTTTCTATTCAAGTCAAAGTAATTATGCCAGTGAAGAGAAAAAAAAAGGATATTCCATATTGCAAAACTGCTTTCTATTTTACCGCATGCTGGGTAGAAGTGAAACATTTCTTCTTGCAGAAGAAAAAATATTGTCTTTTAATCTTTTTTGGATCACTTCCTACTTGTGGAGGTTTTTATTCAGTTTCCCTGGATCTAATGAGCTGAGATGCATTTGTTTGGAAGAGATTCTAGAGCTCAAGCTAACATGAATGAAATTATCTTCTCACCTACATTCCACAAGCAGTTTTTATTGTTTTGCCGATAAATAAATCGTTTCTATTATATTTCTCCAAATGATTTATTTACATTAGAAAATATGACATCATTATTTTTATTTTACTACGTATCCTTTTTTAAAGAGAGGATGTGTTTGTAATTGCATGTTTTTATTTAAGCTTCATAGACCTTTCAAATCTTATGATTGTATCTTTCATGAAAAACATTTCAAAAATACATACTGTTTCCAAACATATTTGCATGTTTAGGTATTTTTTATGGAGAAATTCATGCATGTTTGGACATTTTTCAATGAATACTGTATATTTAGTCTTCTATATAGTCTATGAAGAACTTTTTTTAAATTATATTTTGCATAATTTGTGAATATTACAGCTGATGCATATTTTGTGCAAATAGCACATCATTCTTAGATCATAACTGCATGCAGTTGTATTTTCATATTGTTATACTACAATTTTTAACCCTCTGTACATATGCTAATTGCCAAAGCGAGTACACGATATGATCAACAATCGCAAGCAACAATTGAGATAGAAAAGGCCATCACTCAATATTACTTGATAACTGACTTGGAAGGGAAAAAATAATGAAGAGCAGACTCTTTGTTGGCTTGTGTGCATAAAAGTTAAAATATAATGTCTAAACAACCATGTCTTATAAAAAATACACATATTTATAATTAGCATATCAAATATTGTAAAATGACCTACGATTCATTCAGAACATTAAAATACCGGGTGCCAATGAAGCATTTTTCATGTACATTTCACAATTTTTTAAAACACATTTTAAATCAAATTTCAAAGTTGAAATTCATAAGGCAGTTTAACATCATAGTGAACTTTTACATGTAATAATTTCAAAATTTTATCTGGTCCCTCATCAGTACGAATACACTCTTCAAAAGTTGGGGAGCGGTTTCATAAGAAAGTGTCTGCCACCGGATCCCAGAAATTCCAATTTAACATATAATATACTATCAAGAATGTAGTAATTTTGTAACAAAATAAATAATTTTGTACTGGACTATAGACAATTAAAAAACGGGCGCAATTAAATCACTTTATGCGTTAATTTCTGATTTTTTTAAATCTCATTTTCAGTCAAAATTCTAATTTAAAATTTAGAACTATGGACACTTTGGGGTGGTGATTTAGGTATAATAATTTTATTTTTATAATAAATAAAAAATTGCAATTTTTCATTTTATTATGAATGAAATCTCAAATAGGTATTTGTTATTTAACCTAAAGTATCTGCAATGTTATATGTTTATGGCTAGAAAAAAAATGAAGGCTGCAACTTTATTTGTTCTTAAGCAATTACTCTAATATATTAGAAAATTCTCCATTCACTTCCCATACATTTTTTGATGCAAATATTTTATGTTTAAAATCTTTTAAGGTGAACAATTATTCCTTTGAAGCATAGGACAGACCAATCCAGTGCTGTTTTGTTTAAGATTCTACTGCAATTTAGAAGCAAAGCAGAGTATTCATAGCGGGCTCCTGACAATCCAGTCACTGCTCAGTTCGATCATACAATTTTACGACATGGAAATGACTCTTCTAGTAAAATTGTATCTGAGCCAGTCACTCAGGCCGTTTGAAACGTATGCAGGAATGTTAAAATCACATAAATCGCAATGTTTAAACCCCGTTTTTAACGCATACGCAAACGCCATTTCTGGGCTGAAAAAAACGGAGTATTCGCCGCCCCATGCCCGTCACTTGACTCAGAAACTTTTCATTACGCTAAGACATATTCGGTAAGGACATATATTCAAATTTGATTCAAAAAGTTTTTCAGAAAACGTGAGACAAGATGATAACTAACGGATGGCGGCATCTTACTTGCGCCAGACATCGGCCCAAGGAAGAGATTAAAGCCTCTACTTCACAATCCTTATACAAGGTTGTTTGATAACAGATATGAAGTTTTCAAGAGTAGTTTCACATGAATCAAGATGGCTTCTTGTGCGAGATCAAAACTACGTGGTCTCATTGTAGTCTCTACTCAGGGTTTGGGGCGTATGTTCAATCCTTTTATTGCTAATCACAATGTTGTGTTCAAAAAAGCGTCAATCTTACGTCATATGATAAGAAGTAAGAAATGTGCGATGCTCATTTCAGTGCGGTTCGTACGAAATGTACATGTTCACTTAAAAAAACAAAAAATTCTCAATAGAAGACATTTGTAATAAGAAACAGAATACAAAGAATTTGTCTTCACAATTTTGAGGCAGTGAGTATGCATGAGTTACATGTTACTTTTAATGCCGTTGTACGGTAAAGTCTAAAATACATAATAATGTTCTGATCTCGACAAGTGAGAGCAGGCATTTTGAGAAGCTCTTTTGTATACTAAAAATATTTCAATGTATTCATTTATTTTTCATAAACTTGTGAAAGGTTTCTCGCATATTTAAGAAGTTAAGTTTTCTCAAATTTTACCGTAAAGATCCAAAGGAAAGAATCGTGCCTCATTTATATCCTCATTTATATTAAGTTTTCTTCAAACATTTTTTCTGCATCTCTCTCGGTGCCACTCAAAAAGTAGCCTGAACAGTGCGTTTCTTTCGAACATCAGAAACATAGGTCGAGCACTACCAAACGCGTCATCCGGTCGCGGGTCTTGGGCGAGAGAGCTCAGCCCACTCACCTCCTCCCCCGGGGGGCCCCGTGCCTCCCTTTTCGGCTTGTAAATCTATTTCTGTGCCTGGACAAATGAAATTCCTTTTTGAAGCAATCAAAAACACATTTTTAACCACTAGTATTCACAATATCGTAATTTTTCCTTCTTCATAGGAAGTGGCCCGACAGATCTTTGCATCGACTGCATTGCAAAGAGCCGCCTATTAATACACGCTTTGGCTGGTAATTCCATTTCCGTGCCTTGTCAAAAGAAAATATATCTCTGAAAACGAAAACACACTTATAAAAAATAGTATTCACAATATCGTATTCTTTTCTTTGGAGAATTTTCTATTATATTAGAGTAATTGCTGAAGAACAAATAAAGTTGCATCCTTAATTTTTGCTAACCATAAACATATGACATTGCAGATACTTTAGGTTAAATAACAGTGTTCATAGCATATCTATTTGAGATTTCACTCATAACAAAATGAAAAATTGCAATTTTTTATTTATAATAAAAAAACAATATTAAATTATTATACCTAAAACACAACCATAGTCCCAAAGTGCAATCTAAATTTCAAAATTGAATTTTGACTGAAAACGAGTTTTAAAAAATGAGAAATTAACGCATAAAGTGTTTCAATTGCACCCGTTTTTTAATTGTTTATAGTTTAGTACAAAATTATTTATTTCGTTATAGACTATGTATATATATGGTAGATGAATATAGACAAGTTAAATTGAAATTTCTTCGAAGGGGGATGCGGTGGCGAACACTTTTGTTTAGAGACGCTTGCAATTTTTCGTGTTTTTAGACTGTAATATCTCAGTTGCGGGACTAGATAAAATATTTGAAATTATTATACAGATGAACCAATTAAGTTTATAACACCCCTTTATCTCCTCATCCGTGAAGATTAAAAAGATACCGTTTGGACAGTCGGTAACATAGATAGGGGCTACTTA